CCTTAGAGTCTCAATCATATAATTAAAGTCACGCAAGAATCGAGTGACTCAAAGCTCCCAAGTATCGTTTTTTTCTGGATGTTGTTTTTTCTTTAGGGTTTAGAGTTTTACGGTGCTTCTCAGACTGTCTGGAGATGAATGGCCCTTGCTGGATCTCAGACGTCGAGGCATTCAAGCATAGGTTCCTGGATGCCAGAGCTAATTCTGCAGGATGTTGCGGTTCTGTGTTTCAGTGCGGACAGTCAGATCTCTAGAGCGCGAGCCACTACCATCTACAGGAAGAAAAGGAGACAAGCACATCCAGAGATGCTGGACTCAGAGCTGCTCGCAGCATGTTAGTTTTCCAAGCACAGCTCTGAGCAAGAAAGCTGGAAGGCGTCTTAGATGAGGATCACGACCTTCAGGGTTAGGGTTTAAATATGGGAGTTCAAGGGGTCAGGGTTAAGGCTCAGAGTGTTTCAAGGCGGAGGGTTTAATGTTTTCGATTTAGGATTCGGAATTAAGGGTTTAAAGTTGAGGGTGTAAGGCTTAAAATCTAGGGAGTAGAAACTGACGAGGAATGTTAGACAGGTGGAGATGTATGATCAGCTCCGAGCTCGAGCTCAGTCTCAGGACTCTCTCCATCTGTATCTTCATCTACGCGGGGAGTTTGTTTAGTAAAGTAAGGCCCTTGTGGGTTTAAGGTTCAGGGCTTAGAGTTCAAGGTTTACAGTTTAAAGTTTAGGGTTTAGGGTCTATGGCTTATGGTTTAGTGGATAAGGTCTCTCTGGAACCTCAACTGGCCGGGTGCAGATGAGCAGAGACCCTTTTTAAGCTGCATCATAGAAGGGGCTAAACCTAAAACCCAACAACCCGAACCTTTAACTATAAACCCTAAACCTTCACCCTAAACCTAAACCCGAAACCCTAAAACCTAAACCCTATACCCTAAACCATAAACTTAAAACCCTAAACCTTAAACCCTAAACCCTAAGCCATAAACCTTGTAGGTTACAGCCTAAACCGTGCAGTTTGTTTTTGCCATGTACAGCTTATCCGAAGCGCGAGCCATCACGACTTATCTTAGTAAAAGCGACACACATAAGCAGAAATGATGGACTCGCAGCTACTCGCAGCAAGTCAGTGTTTCAAGCAAAGCTATGAGCAAGGAAGTGAGAAGATGCATCGGACTACAGTCACGACCCTAGAGCTGAACGTTAAAAGTTCGGACTTCGTGGGTTTAAGGTTAACTGTTACAGGTTTCAAGGTTTAGGAGCAGATTTTAAAGATTAGGTTTAAGAAGTTAGGGTTCAGGGCTCAGAGTTTAAGGTTTCAGGTTCAGCACAAAGAAACGCTGAGGAATGTTAAAGAGGTGGAGACGTATGAGCATTTCCGAGCACAAGCTGAGTTTAACGGCTCTCCTGATCTGTTTTTGTCTGCGCTAGGAGTGTGTCTACTAAAGTGAGGCCCTTGTGAGTTTGGGGTTTTGGGCTTAGTAAATCCTGCAGGAAGTAGTGGCTTTGTGATTCAATGCGGACAATCAGATGACAATCAGATCTCTAGAGCACGAGCCAGTATCGTCTAGAACAAGAAAAGGCGACAAGAACATGCAGAGATGCTGGACTCTCAGCTACTCGCAGCATGTTAGTTTTGCAAGCACAGCCCGCAGCAAGGAAGCTGAGAGGCGTCTTAGATCAGGATCACGACCTTAAGGGTTAGGGTTGAGATATAAGGGTTCAAGGGATTAGGGTTAAGGCTCCGAGTGTTTCAAGGTGGAGGATTTAATGTTTTCGACTTAGGATTCAAAGTTAAGGGTTTAAAGTTCAGGGTGTTAGGCTTAAAATCTAGGGAGTAGAAACTGATGAGGAATGTTAGACAGGTGTAGATGTATGAGCAGCTCCGAGCTCGAGCTCAGCTTATGACTTTCTTCATCTGTGTCTTCTTCTGCGCGGGGAGTTTTTGAAGTAAAGTAAGGCCCTTGTGGGTTTACGGTTTAGGGCTTAGAGTTCAAGGTTTAGGATTTAGAGGTTAAGGTTTAGGGTCTATGGCTTGTGGTTTAGTGAATAATGTCTCTCTGGAGCCTCAACTGACCACGTGCAGATGAGCAGAGACCTTTTTTGAGCTGCATCATAAAAGGGACTAAATCGAAAACCCATAAACCCGAACCTTTAAGTATAAACCCTAAACCTATACCCTAAACCCGAAACTCTAAAATCTAAACCCTATCCCCTAAACCATAAACCTTAAACCTTAAACCCTAAACCATAAACCTTGAAGGTTTAAACCTAAACCGTGCATTTGTTTCTGCAATGTACAGACTATCCGAAGCGCGAGCCATCATGACTTATCTTGATAAAAGCGACACGCATAGGCAGAGATGATGGACTCGCAGGTACTCGCAGCACGCCTGTGTTTCAAGCACAGCCATGAGCAAGGAAGCGAGAAGATGCGTCGGATTACAGTCACGAGCCTAGGGGTGAAAGTTAAAAGTTAGGACTTCGCGAGTTTAAGGTTTACTTTTAAAGGTTTCAAGGTTAAGGGTCAAAAAATAAAGATTAGGTTTAAAGGGTTGAAGTTCAGGTTTCAAGGTTTAACGTTTCAGGTTTAGGGAGTAGAAAGCTGAGCTATACTTGAACAGATCGAGACATGTAGTGGACGCGTTCATTTGAGAGCATATATATTCCTATATTTATCGCGTTTGGCTTTGTTTATTTAAGAGGGCTTATAAAAACTAAGCCAAAAGAACCCTAAAGGTCTCAGGCTCATATATATATATATATATATATATATATTTCGAGACTCTTGGACAAAGGAAGGGAATCATTACCCCTTGACGTCACGAGATTGGAAAAAATAGTGTTTTGAGTTTGTTTCTTTGCTTTGGTCATGTTATCTTTTTTGGTTTTTGTTTTGGGGTTATGGGCATCCTGATGTTGGTGTTTTTTTGACTTTTTTGGGGTTCTGGAAACCTGTGAACGTAGATCTTGGGGGGGGGGGGGGGGGGGGGAGCGGGGCGAGCATATCTTTATATACAAATATATATATATATATATATATATATATGTATATATGTAGATAGGTAGATTGTTATTTGTATACTGTATATTCTATTACATACATTTTGAAGGACCACAAGCCTGGCAGACCAGAGGACCGGAGCGCCAGCAGACCACCGGAAGGCCAGTAGAGGACCGGACCGCAAGACCGGAGGACCGGAGGACCCGGACACCAGAACCACAGCAACGGAAAAATAACAAGTACCCACAACAATTTCCCCAAAAAACACTTCCTTGTGGATTGCGCTGTGAAGCAGACGCCCGACCACAGATTCACAGCAAAGGGCGCAGAAAAAGCTGGAACCCTTTTTGACACACGACCTGCATGTCATAGGCAGCAGGCTCGTGCCTTGACGCTGGAAGAAGCGGGACTCGTCCACACATGCAGTAATGCAAGCAATAATTCTCCCAGCATCCTGACACATCTCGACCTGAATGGAAAAAGTTGGCATCTTCGTAGCCTTTGAAACTTCTGAGACCGCAACTGTGTGTGGAAGCCATGCGTTCTGGTTTCGATTGGTATCAGAAACGGCTCAACTTCAGAACCATGGACCATAATAGAACTTCAGCAAACGCATCCTTCCGAGTTCTCCAGGAAACGGTCGTCCCCATAGAGATCTGTAGAATATGCGCCTGCCTCGAACTTGTGACATCTGATTGGAACTTTCCGTCCGTTCACAGCAGTGGCACTAAAGAATTTCATGGTTCATCCAGGAGAGTCGACGACCTCTGCATAGGAGAGCAGCCGCCTTCTGTACACAATGGATGGACGAGTGCGTGCACGCGTGTGTGGGTGGCAATCGAACGTATCCGGGAATAGGTATTTGCATGATAGGTTTGCACATTGTCCCTTTTGACTCACACCCACAAACACACACGCACGGGGCAAAAACTCACAATGCTCTATGGCCTGCGCCCCTCCAACAGAAAGTTCAATTGTTTTGTGGGGTGCCCTCTGACCTCCGAGATTCCTCCTCTTCGCTGCTAGATTCCAACATGTCAACGAGTGTACAGCCCCGAAGTTGGAGAAGTCTTCGCAAACATGTCTGCACATGCGCTCGGTGCTCCGCATACTGCAGCGATGTTCACATTAAATTTCTTCCAGCGCAGCGTTCTTGGATGTGCTGGCCTGTCAAAGACTCCAACATCAGCAGTGACGGCGTAGGTAGGCTTACAGCCAAGTAGCACGATTGCAGCACACCCAACAGTGTTGAAACCTTTGGCAGATTTCCTCACAGACCATGAGTCTTCTGTAAACACGCGTAAACACTGATGCAGATAGACTTCTTCTGCACGAGTAGAGAAACAGGGGGCCAGCCGGACATTTTCGTGTCAGCTGCTCTCGCGCACGTGCGCCGAAACAAAACAAAGATGGTCGTGAACGCTGTCTGACTCTGTGTCAGCCGCTCACGAAAAGAATGGAAGAGGCAGCAAGCTCCGCTTGATCCAACCTCTGCATTCTCTGCATTGAGGGAACTACGCAGCCTGGACTCGATGCGCAACAGATTTACTGACAATGCAAAAAACTCATCTTCGGAGTCATAGGCTCTCACCCATTTTCGCGCACCTCTTCCCGGCAGGGAACGACATGAAGCATAAGCTTAAAGTGGACATGTCTTAACCCCTTCCGCCTAAGGAATGAACCCCCACTTTCAATATTTAGAAATCTGGATTTGGGGAAACTGATTTCTTATGTGCCCAGGCCTTTGTTGCCTGGAATGGGTAACCCCCCCCCCCCCCCCCCAAGGCGACAGGTGTGTGAGATCCGGCCCCGCCCCTCCCACCCCCGTCCCCCCCCCCACCCTGGATGTTCAGGTTCAGGGGCTTTAAGTTGTTGTTTGAGGCTTACGCTTTAGGTTTCAAGGTTTAGGGCGGAACAAGCTAGTTCAGCTTGAATGCTCCTTGGTGGTTTTACAAACTATATAGGCGAGGAAGGGATTGCGGCACAGCCGAAGACTCTAGACTCTAGACATGGGCAGGCGACGACGAGGAGATGCAACTCTCAGATCGTCCTCTCACAGATCTCCCGCTAAAGGCTCTGCCATCCGGGAGCGGCTCGTTCTCATCCTACGAGGTCAAGGCGCAATGCCAACAAGTCAAGTGAAGAACTCACCCCCCCTGCAGTGGTGTTTCTTGCAGCCTGCTTCGCATCTCTGTTCTGCTTGCAGTCGCTCTCGAAGATGTCGTGGATGTTCGCAAACATCTGAGAGCCATGCCGTGCGGGCTTAGGAGAGCTGGCATGACATGCCTATAGGGATTCATCGATTGTCTCTGAGGGGTGGCAGCGCATCGCCAAACAGAAAAAAGCGTGATTAGCAACACCGCCCGACCCAAAACCCCACCTCTCTCTCTCTCTCTCTGGGCGGAGCCTAAACCTGCCAGAAATTGAGCCCCGCACCTGTTGAACGAGCTCATCCTTTTCCTCCTGTGGAGGGTGGGAGGGGGTGGGGGACACAATGTGCCACAAAACCAAACATCCACACAGCTCAGACCCGAAACCCTAAACCTCATCCCTCGTTGGCTTGGGCCAGGCCTGCCGACTCCAGCACAGGGCCAAGCCGTGCAGCCTCTCCCTGGCCTGGCAACTGAAGCAACCCAAGTGCTAACTCAAGCGATCGAAGTGTCTGAGGCCTCTAGGCTCCCCCTCGTCACAGATTGACAGTGGAACCCAAGCATCAACACTTGAGAAGAGGGGGTAGGGCACCGATTCAGCTCAGTGATTTTGGACCAACGGGTTCCGTGAACTGGCTCGCCGTACTCGGATCAGGTTTCTGGTCCGATTCAGATCCACGACTTCGATTCCGTGCACATGCAACGGGGCATCCTGGATCAGCTGTTGTACGATTCGGATCACGGGTTCTTTGGGGATTAAGTTTCAGCCATGTGCTTTTCAGGAATTAACAGCGGCCTTTCTCAGGTGGTGCGCAAACCCTACACGCCGACGCCCTAAACCCCAAGCCACGGCCGACGGGTTTAGGGCTTAGGCTTTCCCAGTCATTGAAGGATAGTTGGATTTAGACGAGAGCTCGAGATGTGGCTTGCCGACCCACCAATTGAAGATCTGCAAACGACAACACCCACAAGCTCCAAAAGACCTACCTGTCGGTGATCAAGCTGAAAGCTCAGGGACAAAAGCTGCTGCCTTGCACTTGAGGTCTTGATGCTTCTTCATCTCCATAAGGCTCGGGGAACCCGAAAGGCCTGGCCAGGCACCAAAGCAAAGGGTAAAGACCTAGCTGACGCAACTTGTGTGCACAGTCTAGCATGACTTTCCGTGAAAAACACACCCCTACAGGGCAGCTCATAGAAGCACGGGGCAAATCGGCAGAGTTCCGCCTCTCTCCTTCACGTTAACCGACCTCGGAACACTCGGTCACACTAGGATTTTTGGCCAGCTTGCCATGTCCCTCAACCGGTGACACTGGTCCGGACACAGGGAGACTCTGGAGTCCAATGTTGGAGTCGACCACTATCAGGCCAGGGTTGCTAACCCCGCAAACGGGCAAGGGTCTACTGAGGGCGTACGACGTGGGGGTTTACAGAGAGCCTTTTGTGCGGGGGAACCTGTTGGAAAAGGTACCTATGAGGGGTACCGTCGTGCAGGACAACCCCTGCAAGCCTTGGGCACACTCTTCGATACCAAGGGGCCCGTCGTAGAAACCTGGCCCAGATTGCTGGTGAGCTTCCATAGGGCCTTGATGCGGCAGAGATTACATGGTACGGTACTCCACTATTCCATACTTCGTAGTAAGCCCTAAACATGCTCCATGCGAAATTTGATACTTTTGGCCTGTACGATATGCTTGCTGTAACCTTAAACTGTACCGATGTCCGGCGCGTGACAAGCAACGGTGAACACGTCAGCCCGGTGTGCTGCCTGTGTTGTGCCTTCTGCTTTATCCACCGCAAAACATGCAAACTTGAAAGAAGACGACACAATGCACACTACTGCACTTCATAAGGGTGTGTATCGACGAGGCACGTTTGAAGAATCGCTGTCTGCGGAGAGCCGCTAGGCTTTTTGGAGAGAGGCCCTGGAAGAACAGGGCCACCAAGCGAATGACATGATGTTCACTTTCAGCTGCCCTGCCTTCTGATTGCTAGGCGGCACTGGAAGCAGCTCGGCTATGGAGTCTTCGTTGATTCCTGGCCAGCGTACTCCACATATCTCAGCAATCCCGAAGAAACAACTTGGGAATACTCCCACAGCGTCCTGGCAAAGGCGTAAATGCCATCTCAAGGTCTAAGCCGAAGCCGAGAATCTCGCCGAGCCAAAAGGCTGGCAGAATTTCACCAATCAAAGCCAGCAGCAGACACGAAACGTGTTCATTACCACACCTGCTTTCACGCTTTGGCATTGCAGAGAACAACGTCCAAGGGCCTGCATTTTGAGGTGCCAACCAGAGGCATGGTTTGCACTTGTGATTCAATGAGCTGCTGTGTTTGCTTCATGGTTAGTTTCAGAAGCTGAGCCTGTCTTATCCTCCCTGCAACACCCGTCTCACATGTGCACTAGGGAAAAAGGGAACTCTGACAAGGAGTCTGTAGTCATACTACTGCTTTCCCTCCTCAGCGAGGTTCCTTGGTAACCTCATTTCAGGTGGCGTTCCATAACCTTTGTTGTATGTATGCAAGGCTTAGATTACTGCGCACCTGCGCAGCCTCGCGCGAATCCGTACTTGCACAAGGCTTTTCCAAACGGAAAGCTGCCTCCGAGGCTGCCTTCGGCGGCCTCCCTTCTTTGGTGCACTTTGGGCGCAACATCCCGCAAGCAGCCGGCACAAATGGAAGAAGTCCATGGCCAAAGAAACCTTCGATCCTGACTTAGGGCAGCTGGCTATGCACGTGGCAGTCCGGGCGACAGTCGTCAAAAGCGTCAAAAAGCCGATTCACGTAAGATTGTACGGAGTGGTCCTTCAAGCAGTCTGGGGTCAGCTGGAACTCTTTCCAGTTCACGAACTGCTTAGTGCCAGTCAATACCTTTAGCGGGATGAAATGTTGGTACTTTCTGCCAAAGTCTTCAAGGAGGTTGAAATCCGGTCTCTGCAACACCTGCCGAGCCGCCTCTTCCACGACTTTGGACACAACTTGTCCCTTGATGCAGCCAAGCTCATCGACCAATCCGTTCTGCACGTTCCGGGCCGCAGCTTCCACAAACTGACGCAGATCCAAAGCGCCCCAGGCCCGAGGGCAGGGGTCGTTGGCGTGGATGTAGTTCGCGGCACGCTCCTGGGCGAACTCCTGGAAGCTTTTTGCTTGCTTGGATCCTTGGGACCCGCCCCCAAAGACCATCGGGGAGCCGAAGGTGACGCAACGCACATCGAAGGACTTCAGAAGCTGCTGGCCGTCTGAGGGACCACCTGTGATCTTCTTCCAGGCCACGTACAGCAGCGCTGCGGCATACATCCCTCCAAGGGAATGGCCGGTGAACACAATCTTCTGAACCCCCTGCGCCTTCGCGGAAGCCAGCCGCTCCAAGAAGTCACGCTCCTTCCAGAACTGCGCTCCGCGAAGTGTTCCAGCAGCTCCACCGTGGATGAAGAAGTCGGTATCTTCGGTAGTGGCGTGGTCCAGCTCAAGGTTCCAATTCAGGAAGTCCAGAATGTACGAAGTGCCCTTGAAGACGACATACAGCACCTTTTCGGATGGCAGTTCAGCGGTGACAGTTGCGATCTTTACCGCCGAGCCGAACTCGCCAGGCTGAGTCACCCGGTGGACTGTCATGGCTGCATGCTGGAGGTGTGGGGGCTTCGGGTCATCGGTGTAGATCCAGTAGCTAAGCACCGCCGCCACCATCTCAGCAAACTCGGCCTTCCATGGCACCTCGGTGTTGTGCAGGGTCAGGTCGAGGCTACGGGTACGCTCACCAGAGCCCGCCACGTCCACGAGCAGTATCTTCTCAGCTTCCTGCGGCACTGCCACTGCCTTGCCATTCACGTTGCAGACGGAGCCAAACTTGGAAACCTTTCTTGAGTCAATGCCCGCAGGGAGGTCGATGGCCGAAGCCTCGCCAGTCGAAGGGTCCACCACCAAAATCCTCGTGGAGTCCTGGGGCACCGCCGTTGCCTTGCCATTCACCTTACACACGGAGCAGAATTTGGCCGAAGTTTGTGTGTCAAGGATCTTGGGAAGGTCGATGGTCGAAGCCTGGCCTGCTGCAGGGTCCACTACCAAGATCTTTTCAGCATTGAATGGTACCGCCACTGCCTTGCCATTCACAAAGCAAGCGCAGCAAAACTTGGAATCCCTTCTTGCATCAATGCCAGTCGGAATGTCGATGGCCGAAGCCTCACCCTTTGACGGGTCCACTACCAAAATCTTCTCGGCATTGCAAGGCACCGCCACTGCCTTTCCATTCACGTCACAAACGAACATGTACTTGCCCGGTGTTCCTGCATTGATGCCCGCGGGGAGGTCGATGGCTGAAGCCCGCCCATTTGCAGGGTCCACTACCAGAATCTTCTCAGCATTAAACGGCACTGCCACCGCCTTGCCGTTCACATTGCAGTCTGATACAAACTTGCCCGGTGTTCCTGCACCAATGCCCGCGGGGAGGTCAATGGCCGAAGCCCGTCCGGTTTCAGGGTCCACTACCAATACCTTCTCAGCATTAAAAGGTGCTGCCACTGCCTTGCCATTCACATTGCAGACGGACCGAAACTTGCTCGACGCTTCTGCACCGATGCCCGCCGGGAGGTCGATGGCCGAAGCCCCACCAGATTCAGGCTCCACCACCAAAATCTTTTCGGCAGCACCCGGAGCCGCTACAGCTTTGCCGTTCACATTACAGGCACACCAAACTTGTCAAGAGTCGCTCTGGTAATGCCTCCTGGAAGGTCGATGGCCGAGGCCTTGCCAGCTGCCACGTCCACCACCAAAATCGTTTCACCACTGTGGGGCATCGACACTACCTTTCCATTCACGTTGCAGGCAGACACAAATTTTGAGCCCGTTTTGGCATAAGTGCCAGCTGGCAGGTCGAGAACAGCAGGTTTGCCAGCGGCTGCCACTTGGCCCATGGCGTATGTCTGGTACGGGAAGGCTCGTTCAGAAAGTCGTTGTGTAGCTTTGCCGTGTGGCTGCTCGTAGGTCAGGTCGGATTTGAATGTGAGACATGGTTAAGGCCTTGACAGCTTTCGGGTTCAGTTCATGGTTTGCACTAAGTGCTGACCACAGCAACGGCTCTTTAAAACTCGCCGAAGTCTGGAACGTGAGCAAGGTTTGCAGCAAGCGAAAAGGTCCTGAACTCTACAGCAGGTGCCCACATCTCCAGGTCGGTCTCATGTACACGATGAGCTTGCGGCTCAAGGGTCGAGACGCAGGCGACCACCAGGCCTGAGTAAACAGCCACAAGTTCCTGAAACCCTGAAGCCGATGCAGGCTCCCTGGGTCCCTGATGCTGTGTGCCCCCACCAAAGGCTATGAGCAAGAGAGGCACTGCATTCGCTGCGCAAAAGAACGGCCTCGGCTCTCAATCACAGCTTCTTGGCGTGGAGTGAAAGCAGGCTCAAGATATCACTCCAGATAACGTGCAAGATGCCGAGGCTGCAACATACCCTCCTCGCGCCCACACGTGCATCAATGTTTCAAGAACAGCTCTGGCCAACAGATGACGCCACGATCACATGGATGCATCATCCTGTCGCCGACGCAGCTCAATGGTGAAGGCGCCGGGCAACACAAAGGCAAGGGCCTAACAGATGCAGGAAACGCAACCTAGTTGAAACCACACCTCACGTTATTCAAAAGCTTCATGGTTCGAGAATCCTCTTTTTCCAGCGAATGAAGTTGGCATGGTCCTGTGCATGCCTCGAGCACCCCCAGCTGAGGCCGTGACCATGGTCGCCCAAACCTCGAAAACCATGTGATGCAGCCATGGCTGTCCCCGTACAACAGTCCAATTGGTGATTCATCCATAGCCCTGAATCAAAAGAGCGCTGCATGGTTACCTGGGGGGGGGGGGGGGTCGGTGCCACACAACACCGAAAGACTGTCGGAAGAGGACGGAGTTCCAAAGCGGCTTGAAGTCTGGAGAGGCTCTTATGCCCTCCCTACGCTCAGAACTACGCCACGGCCAAACACTGCCTGCTCGGTGCACTAATCCTAGTCAGGGAAGTACCAAGAGGCCAAGAAAAACACTCACCAACGAGATGGGCATGAGGCGGCTGCCCCCACAAAAGTGAGAACCTTGGAGAGGTCGCTCACTAGCCACGCCACAAAGGCACCTCGCATCCCGGCGACGACCCTTGAAACGGGGGTTGGAGTCTAAACGGAGTACTCTAAGACAAATTTGGGTCATTGCCTTTTCGCAATGTTTGGGATGGCTCGCAGGGTTTGTGAGCATGCCGGGCTTGGAGGAAGTCAGGATCTCACCCTGTCTGCAAACCTCTCAGGACTCTGCACACTGCCAAGATTACGGCATTCAGCACGTGGAACTTGTCCTGCCAAAAGTCAAAAAAGAGTGGGAGTCTGCAGCAGCAGCTACCACATGGGGGTCTAGCCAGGCTCTCGCTTTGCTTTGGGCTTGACGGTCGCCCCCCGCGCCAAGGCGCGCCCGCGTCTCTCCGCTCTCCCGACCGCGGCGCAGCCCGTACAGCTGCACATCTACAGCCAGGCGACTACAACTAGTAGTCTCGTGAGTGGAGGAGGACAAGTAAACATGTGAGCGCTTTGTAACCTACTACAAGTACTTGCTGAGTTCTCCTAAGCCTTGAAGCAAACCTCAGACTTCACGACCGATGACCTCCCCGAATCCAAATTCTTGGCACCACTCTACCCTTGGCTTCAACTGCCCCCCTAGGGCAACAATATCCTCACCCAGCTTGAACCCAAAGCTTCCAAAACCTCAACTCACATCACGCCATCCCCCCCCCTCGACAAACCCTGAAGCTTTACACACGCTCTGGCCAAAACACCCCAAACCGCAGTTGAGCTCTTTAAACAGGTCGAGGCCTCGGGGCGTCAGGCCTAAGGGACCCGAGCGGTAGCTACCATCCTTTGCTCTGCTGGGCTTGGGTTGGGCACAACTCCCCCCCCCCCCCCCCCCTAGCTTGGATGTGGGAAGAAAACTGTCTGGGACCCCAATTCAAGTTTCACGACATTTTACGACGGATCCCCTCATGAACAGGAACCTCCAGAAAAGGAACCTACTACGGAGAAACCCCAGGACCAAAAGCCCTGGACCCCTAATCGAACCTTACTAGCCCCACTCCAACTACCCCTCAAAGATCAAGCCCCACAGAGCCCCAACTCAGCCTTACTCGGGCCATAGCTTTTGGGCAGCTAGCCCAGAACCCTCAAGGGCTTAGGGTTTGGGGTTTAGGGTTTTGGGTATAGGGTTTAGGGTTTAAACGGTTTAGGGTAACACCCTACGCAGGATGTGACATGAAGCCAGCCTTGGGAAGAGCCTCGGGAGTTCCACTGTCCTGGCGCCGGCCTTGGCAGAGTTCGGGAACCTTGGGGGGCTTGGGTTCATGGATGTTCATGGACCTTTTGGGGGGGACGGGAGGGGGGGGGGGGGTGAGGACTCGGAAAGCACCATGGAGCCTCGGCAGAGTGAGGAGTTCTGCCGAAAAAAATGATTCTGACACACGGGGGAGTTGCTACTCTCCATCCCATCTGAAATCACCCGAAACCCTAAACCCGACTGCATTGCCGTGCAAAGGTGGAGCACACTTCAGAGGCCCAGGCCCAGCGCGAAGACGTCTACAGCAGCCATCCGGCAAGGGACCATGATGAAGGCAAATGAACAGATGACCACCTCAACAAGAAGTCGAATGTTGGACGCGCATTCAGACAAACTCCTCTACAAAGTCAAGTTGGCCGGGCTCGTCAGGACCCTGTAACCGTTTGGAGGTTCAGAGCGGGGTTCGCAATTTTAAGTCATATCGTCCAGGTGTCGAAGGAAAACTTCGCAACAGCGCGCCTTCAAATCAGTTGCTAGGCCTGGCTGTCCCTGTTGAACTCATGTAAACTCCTCCCTGTTAACATCATACAAAACCCCGTGCCCGTGGACCGTTTTAAGATAGCGAAACCAGCTGCGACTGCTGGGGGGGGGGGGGCGGGGGGCGAACGAAACACTGAATGCAGGTGCGACGTTACCATACATGATTGGGAAACATGCTTTTCACGCTAAAAAATGGGAATCTACCAAAAAAACGCGGCCCATCCATCGGCCAGCAAGTCCGCGTTTGCAGCCTTTGTCACTGTCACGGCATGGCTCGGGCTCGCAAGGGGGTCGGTCGGGGGTCGGTTACAAACCGCGTGCTCCGAATCGCAAAGGCCGCCAGGTCAAGGACGAGTCCTGAACGTCTTGCACTTGCGACTTGTGCCTGGGAGCAGTCCTCGCACAAAAACAGTTTGCGGCTCTTTGGCGTGTCGGGCGAACCCCGCCCGTGGCCACGAACCCGACCAGACCACCTCGTCGGAAAAGCACAACTTTGCTGCAGAACTTGGTGTCAGCTCCACCATAGGGGTGCTGTGCTTTAAAGCATCTTTCGTGGAGATGCATCTGTTCGACCCTTGAAGTTGAAACCATAGTGCCATAGTGCCTCGTCCTTAAAGCCACTTCGGGTTCTAGGGTTTGGCATTGGGTCTGGGGATCTGGGTGTGAAGGCTTTGGAAGGAAAGCACCGGTCCCAGCAGACTCGGCCTTCCGCAGTCCCCCCAATAAGGTATGCCTCTTTTGGGAAACCCCCAAGTGAGGCCTTGGAATCACATCTTGTTCTGCCGACGCCAGTCAGCACAATGCGCACTGTCCAAGGGCCCGGCGAAGCCGTAAGAAACCCAGGACAACATCAATGGGAGGTACCTATGACGCAGAATCTGTCTGGACAACCCAATCTTCGGAAAGCTCGTCCAACTGCTCCCTGCTACAATGCTACACTGGCGAACCACCCCTTGCTGTTTTAGACAGCAAAAAAAACCCCTGCCGGAGTGCGGGGCAACAGGGCTGAAGTCCAGCAGCACGTTGCCCGCCACATGGTCCCCGAAGCGTAGGTATGCTGCCTGAGGCTTTTTCAGGGCTTGGCCCGATTGTAGTCCCAGGCGCCCCTCACAGCCACACAAGGACCCGGGGAAAGAATATTGACATTGCAGTCTGATCAAGTTTGTGTGAATTACATCCTCTGTCAACCTGCATTGGCTCAGGTGTCTTGGCCGTCGGCCGTACCCAACGTTGCAGAGAACATCAGGGCAATCAGGAAAGCAACCTGTGCCAGTCTGATGGCGCTTCTTCGGGCATGTAGGTCACGCATCGAAGTTCAGACGACCAATAGCCCGCTCAATCTCTATCGTAAGTCAGCTTTCGCAACGCATGGGTGCATGCTCCACTCAGATAACCGTTCACGGAAGGCCCTCGGAAAGCAACCCCCATGACGCATGCCTGAGAAATATCTTCTGCCGCCATGAGGGATGTGACGGTTTCTTCATCCTCCTAGCAGACTGGGCGGGGGGGGGGGGCTACCACTTCAACTGCATGGAGAATTCCGGATGGGACGTGCCGAGTGCGAACTCTAAACAAGCAAGGCATGAACATCATGTTGTGAGGTGTCCAGATCACCGTCAGGCCCCAGATGGCTCAGCACCTTGCCAGCAACAGCGAACAAACTTTACGGGGTAGGCTTTGCTTGAGCTGAAGCGTATTCCCGGCAGATGGCATTCGACTGTGTCAGTACTGGCTTCTCATGGTTGCACGCAATCTCGATTCGGATGCGGATGAAATCGGAAGTTCTGGCTCTTGTGCCCGCTGGTTTACTGACGGCGTGCGCCCTGGTGTGCTTCACGCCAGCTGTTGATTTCACACTGATTCCGTTCTCTGCACGGCCATCAGCAAGTTTGACGGGGCGACATCCGGGGAAGCGCAGGTTTGGAAGTTGCGCGTGGCCTACGGATGGCAAGGTCCGACTCGTTGGCGTTCCTGCAATACTTGTGGGATCCTGTGAGGGTTGGAGACTCCAGACAGGGAAGCGAACCACAATTTGCAGCACTTTGGCAGCGCGTGATGTAGGGCCCCACTATCATCCACCATCCATGGCCACCAAGCCAACCCTTGAATGTGCAGGAAGGTTGTCGAGAAAGCATGGCCGGATTCAAGGGGGCCTTGGCGATGCATGGTCCGTTGAAATGAATGAAGCTCAGGAAACTGAGCCGGGGAACTCCAAGAAATTCAAGAACTGCCGAGACGAAACACATTGACTTCCCCATGTGAAATTGAATCAAAGCGGGGTTCGCCAGAGACCCCTCTCGCAGGTATGTGAGCAATGAGATGATCCTGTAGCACGGTCAAGCACACGGCGAACATGTACTTTAATGCAATTCAACACGTTGAGGCCGTTGAACAGCGACAATGCAAAAAAAAACAATAGCCTATCGGAGCGACATAGAGTACCCACAGTGTATTCAGTGTGTCATCTTAGCATCACCGTGCACTAAGTGCGGTCCGGCCTCAATTCCCCCAGCTTGCACTGAGAACTGCAAGGAGAAAAGCGCCGCACCTTGCCCGATCTACACTCGACAGAAGAGATCCAAGCTATGCCCTGCAAAGTTATGCCCACAATCAACGACTCTGCCCACTGCGAGTCCACAGGATCTGCGCCTGACAGCAGCCTCCGAAAGTCGCCCCGAAGGACATCGACGTCACCTGCATGAGAACTGCGGCTTGGATCTCAGAGTGCAAGAATACTTGTGAATTGAACACCCATTTTTCTTAGCCTTGTCCCTGCCTGAACGCGCTGGATCCTCCACAGGTGCATTGACCAAGTTGGGCGACAGCACGTCGCCTGGACTTGGTCAGTGGGCACTTGGTCCAAAGGCAAAAGAGGGCGTCAGGCCTTGGGCGAGCAGGTTGGGAGCAGTTGGAATGAGTTGCATCACTCTGCAGCAGCTCCCGGCAAACCCCGGCCCTTTGTCCGCCTCAAGGCATTGTCTGAGGCGCAGGCCCACGCACACACAAGTCAGTATCACCTCAGGTGCACAGCACACCTCCCAGGCCTTCCCAGGGAGCAAGACGAAGCCAAGAAGGGCTTTTCAGTCGGTCTGAGGGTCAGACTACCAGGCAACACACGCCTGCATGAAGAACACAAATAGGAGCACGTGGCTGGCTAATCACACGCGGAGGTGCGGCTGCTTCAGGTTTGGCAGAGGCATGTCGCATTGGGCCACGTGTCAATCCCGCTTGGTGAGCACGCAAGTCTCTGCCAACACTTCACCCTGATGAGCTCCTGTGCACATCTTCGCCCTCAATCTGGGTCGTCGGCCGAGCATGCACACCGCACTCACCAGAGCGACATGCCGAAGCGACCTCCAGAAACTCGGCTCCAAGCCGACCAAGCCCCAGTCAATACTGATACTGGCTCCAGCACCAATGTGCAATCGGTCTAAGTTGCCGGCACAAATTAAGCTCTAACTCTATGCATAACCGGGGGGATACATTCTATAGGTCAGCCGCTTGCTTGCATTACCAGCACTCACCTCTTCGCGGGGTACGCATATCGATGCTCCGCGTGCACTTGTGTACAAAGAGTTGGGTGTGAACTGCGGCACATCGTTCTCCAGGGATGGGCGATGGAGCTTCTCATCCCCCATCCCTTGAAGAAGCTCCGCGGCTCTTTGTACAGGCAGTGTGGTGTCTTGAGTCTACAGCCATTCATGGCGACAAGCTGTTGGCACCGAGGTCTAGAACCAGAAAGTCCCAAACGTCACTCTCGACACCGCTCTGCATCTTAACGACAAGCACGGGATGTTGGGTCATCCCAGCGCTACCGCACGTTGGTGGGTTAGGTGGGGCATGTGATGTCCAGGGTTTCGGGTACAGGGTTTTTGGTTCCGGGTTGAAGCTTTCTCCTGACTCCGCAGTCGTGAAAAGTCTGCAAGACCACGACTTCAGGTCATTTCTGCCGGCAACTGCGCTAGGCTCCTTCGGCTCAGGCGTCCCGGCCAAACTTCTTGTCGTGATCACGCTTCGCTTTAGCCTTGACCTAAGCCATGTTTGGGGGCTTTGGGCGTCAGACTCAAAGCCTGCAAACACACTTAACATGCGGCTTGACGAAGAGATCAGGATGCTCCACACAAGAACTTCCCGGCACCCTACGACTCTACGCCGCAGCCTTGATCCAAGAGGCTCCAACTCTCTCTGCCTTGGACGAAGACGTTTTGCTCTTGGAGTTTGCCTGCCGCACTCCTCAGAGGACAGCCAGAGATGAGGCGCAAGCCGAACCCAAGAAGGGCTTGCAAATCAGAGCTGCCGGCCCCACTCTAAACGTTAAAACATCCCTAACAGCCCTGGGAGGGCGCCTCCCTTGAACTTCTTGGAGTCTTTGGTCGACATGGCAGTGATGCTCCGTGTACCGCTTCCATCGTCCCAGTGGGCGCTGCCCTTTGCCTCGGTCTACACGGGGCTGTCAAGGATTTTTAAGGGCTTTGAGTGGGAACAGCAGGGGCTTCGAGACGAGAAGGGCCCACTCCGCAGGTCTGAAAGGTGTTTCGGTTGAAACCTCACGTGTTGGATTTCCCTTACGTTGATGGCTTCATGCATGCCAAGATACCACCATTGCGAAGCCGCACTTTTCGCAGGGGCGAGCAGGCGAGTAGCTTTGTTCCATAGAGCATTTGCCGCATATCATACCTGAGAATGCCAAGACTTATCGTATGTGTAGACCACCCTTTTCAGCTGCTTGCGCACGAGCTGAAAGCCCCACACCATTCTGGAGGCAAAACCCACCCATCTACTGTGAGCATGTGCCTTTACCAGGCACTTCTGCCGAGCCTCAGAAATGCAAAGCCCCATCAAAGCACCCACACAATCCAGCTCCAGGGACTCATCCTCCCAGCAGCTAAAAGCATCAAGGCACGGCTCGCTTGGGCGCCCAGACCCGCCGCTGGACATCCCGAGTCTGCATGGCATTGTGGGCACGGGAAGGCGCGCCCACAGCAAGCGAAGCGGTACCACCTTGCTTGCCACAGGTTCCTCTGGGCATATGTACATATCTAGAGATATAGATAAAGAGAGAGATATATATATATATGTACGTATGTACGTATGTATGCACTCCCGCCCCCCCCCCCCCCCCGTGCCCCCCGCATGATCCACACTTTCGGCCTCGTATTGGTTGTCAATGTGAAGTTGGGGGGATTCATGAGACTCCAGACTCCAGACTCCAGATTTCCTGTTCGAATCCGGACATCCAGAACCAAACTCCTGGTCAAAGTCCCAAACCTGTGCCCCACGCCCTCAAGAGATCGACGGACCCCTTCCACAGCTAGCATGGAAGCTTCAAGACGGATTCGGGGCAGGTTGGGCATCGGGATTCCACAAAGGGGCATTTGCACACCGGAGCCCTAAACCCCAAACCCCAAACCCCCAACCCCGAACCCCAAACCCCAAACCCTAAACCCCAAACAACAAACCCTAAACCAAGCAGCTTGTAGGACTTCTTGAAGTGCCTGCACGCCCCCATCTGCGGAAGCGGGCTGCCAAGCTTGATCAGCTGCTGCCGCGGGTCAGACTTGGCCTTCTTGCGGAGGTACCTCTCAGGACTATAGGGGCCTTAGTCATTAGAATAGGGTTATAGGAGCCTTGATAGTTAGAGTAGGGTTTTGGGGGGGTTGTTGTAGCTTATCTAGAAAGGGACTGCAAGGGAGTATGTTCTTCGTAACTATTCCGACAGATGTATTACCTCTGAAGCTGCGCAGGTGAGTGTTGCAAGGGTTTTGGAGTTCGGAGGTGCCAAAGACGGAGAGGCAATCTGAACTGGCACTCACTTGGTTTTCATGTGCCGGCACAAAATGTAGTTGTTCTTTCCAAAAGGCTGAGACTTTCTGTTCTCAACACAAATTCAGATTGCGGGTGCTCGAACTCTCTCCCTGGTAAAGAAAAGGGAGAGCAGAATCTTCCTGTGCCTGGGACCCCAGCAAGGAAAAATCGATGAAGGCTGGCTTCCACGGAGCTCGCTTCAAGGTTGGCCCCGCCTCAACTCCTCTGCAAGCTCGTCCATCGGATCATCCTCGCATGAAGCAGCAATACTCTCCGAAACGCCCGCTCTTCGCTTCAAGGCTTCTGGGCCCCGGGCAATGGACTTCTTGGTGCCGGTACTTTTGCCACCAGGATCGCAAGGAGTGATCTCATCTATGCGAATGGACTCCGCGCGGAAGGCATACCTTGAGGCTTCGAGTTAAAAGCACTCCCTCGGCGTCTGCGACTCGGCTGTACACGAGACCACTGCGATGGCGCCTTCCCCCTCAACTGCGCATGATCTGCACACGCCCCCCTTAAGGTGCAAAGCCCGTTAGAACTCCTTCAGGGTCATCCAAGCTGCTTGGCGTGGCACTCGAAACCTGGCAAGCCATGAAAGAAAGGACTTGGAGCCAACATGACTCATCCTGGTAAACTGAAGCTGCAAACTTCACATGCGACTGAAGGCACGGGAGTGGGGCCAATGCTCTTAAGCTTAGTCTTGCTGGCAGGATGCAGGTGCCGTCGATGCCCCGATTGCGCACAAACTCGTTCTTGTGCACGTTTTCCGCATGGCAGCTTTCCTGCACGATAAAGCAGGGCACACAAAGAACCGAGACGGCTTCAATCAACACCGAACGCCCCAAATGCCTCTGCTGCACAGAAGCTTCATTGAATCTATGCTTCCAAGGCTCGCAGATACTCATCAGAACTGATGGCAGCACATCCGTCACTCGGCAGCGGACGCAGTCCACGTAGCAAAGCCTCAAGCACCACAGAAGTTGAATACCACAGCATCACAAGAATCCCAGACCTTCAAGGGAGAAGCCCTACACCTCTGCGACTCCCCAAGCATGCCGTGGTCGCCGTGAGCTGGCGGCGTGCAAGAGCGTGGGCCGCAGGCGAGCCGCAATGAGCCTCTGACACTTGCGGACGCCTATATACGACAGCCACAACTACCAGTACCACTCTGTATGTCACTGTATGTCAATACATGTCACAGTGCTTCAGTCCGATGGCACCGGCCACGAGTCAACTCTTGGTAGAACTCGTTAATGACAATTGTTGTGTGGTCTCGGAACTCGCTCTCAAGTCCCAAGTGAAGAATAGCTGCGGGTGAGGAGCCCCGAGCAACCCTCACACCAAAGCTTCGCGTCCACGGCATCTTCGTCAGCCCCGGAGAGGTAGACCTTGCGAGCATCTTCGGCAGAGAGACTTCCATCCGTTCATGCCACCGCGGTGCCCCTGCCAGAAATCCTGATTCCGCTGCTTCTGCTCGAGGCCCACCTGCGCAGCGGTCCGGCAGTCGGCGCAGGCCAGCTGCACGTGGAGCAGCTCCAGTTGCACTGTGGCACAGCCTTGCCAGGTGAGCGGGAGGCTGTTACCGCAGCTCGCATGCCCTCGTATGCCCAGCCTTGCATGGTCTTGATTCCTTCGAGGCGTATCTCCGTGCCCTTGTGATCTGGCTCCAGCTCGATAGGCATGCGCTCTCGGTGGACCTCCTCTTCCTCGTCTTCGTCCTCCTCATCATCGTCCTCCCCCCGCGACGCTCAGGACAACTTGCACGAGCAATGTGGAGATTGCAGATTTCTGCGGTAATTAGTCTGTGAACAATTCGTTGCCAATGTTGCGACAACTCCTCCTCAGTCGGAAACCAGTCTGCACCAGCTGCAGCGCCAGAGTCCTTGGCGGGGCGCTACTGCGGCATGGGTTTCGGGTGTTGCTCCCCAAAATCTCCTCCAGCCAGTCGAGGTCATCTGCAAGACCTCTCCGAGTAGCCGAAGGGCGTGCTCTGGTAATGGACGTGACACCCAGTTCTGTGTGGTTCCTAGAGAGCTCTCTCAATGACTCCGAGCCTTCAGAAACCTGAATCCCATAAACACAAACCCGGTCCAAACTCCATCTCCCCACAAACTCCGCCGCACTCCACTCGGTCGGAATCAAGTGAATCCGAAGAAAGCCATATCAAAGGAAACATGGACATGAAGAACCTTTAAGGTCCCCCCCCCCCCCCCCCCGCCGCCGCCTTTCGCGGCGGAATCCTTGACGTCTTTGCATCCCTTGGATTCCGCCCCAGCGAGTCTTCGGGCTTCCAGGCGTCCGAAGCAGGCCTGGGGGCACAGCAACAACTGGGCCGTGGACTCCGTAGGGTCCATAAACTAGAAACCCAGAGAAACACCTGAGTAATTAGAAGTAGAAACATTGGAGTGCAACACCAGAGTACCTAGAATTAGAAGAGCTACTTAGAAGACTCTGGAGAATGTGAGGTGACGTACACCCAGCCTCACAAGCCCTGGCATTGTGGTGGCCAACCTCAGACGCAATCATGTCCCACCTGCCAGGGCTTCCTGCACGGCCTATGGGTCATCTGGGGTTTTCCGAAATTAGGGGTACCCTATTCTTGGAAACCCCCATCTCCGAAAATGCTGCATCCGGCTGCCGGGTGCCTCTGTTTGCGCGAGTGGCTCCAGGACTCTGGGTACTGCCGCACGGCCTTCAGTGAGGCTCTCCCTATTGTAGGAGTTGTCGAAATTTCTCGAAACATGTCCCACAAGAGATAACTTCCTGGTTCCAGTGGAGCCTCGAATTCCGAGAGACCTGCTGAATTATCTCAATTCTGCTCTTGTTTTGTTCCCTCACTGGTGTGCGGGCCTCCTTGAGAGCTTGGTACTCTACCTGCGTCCAGCCGTGCTCGTCGCGAGCGCCTTCCTCGCGAAACAGATCGCGAAGGCAGGGGCAGAGTAAGGGCACTGGATGGCACAGGAGCACATGTTCACATGTTTTCACAGCCCGGCTTCCGAACCTGTTTCAAGCCAATTGCCTCGTCTAGCCTCTATGAGAACCCCTCATTGGCAACTTGTGCAGAACGCTCACAGTCCAAAGAACCCTTCACGAAAGGGCCGAATGAAAAACCTACGTCTGCTGGAGCTGGTCCTGCTTGGTCGCCAGTGCCTGCGCTGCTTTGCGCTCCGCCGCCTCGCGCTCCTGCAACAGCCCGCATGTCGCACAGGCCCTTCAGGAGGGCTTGCAGACTTTCCTCTTGGCACTTAGTCACTGGGTCTGGGGTGATGTCGCTTCTGGTCTTGAGAAGCAGCGAAAGCTTGAGAAAGCCATGCGCTCCGAAGCGTCTTCAACGGCTTCGAGGCCTGGCCTCACGCTGGCGCCGGAGGCTGCGGGCGAGCTCCCGCGCAGCGTTCAAGGCACAAGCCTCCTCCTAACAGTGGCACGGCAGCACCCTGAAACCGCTCTGAATGTGCCAGCGCGCTTCGAAAATCCAAATGGCATTTCCTGAAATCCTGTAGAGGGCATCATTGAAAGAATACCTATCCTGCTCAAGCGCAAGCCTAGCAAATCCTGGGTACCCAACACAAGCAAGATAGCCACGTCGGCTGCTACACCAGGTTGGGGCAGGGTTTGGGCGTCTTACCCTCTCCCCCCTGTCCCCCACCCCCCCTCCGCCCACAATAATTATACGAACAATACTTATTCAATCCATGATTCCCTCCCTACAGCTGACCGATGTAGGAGCCATCATTTATTCGGACAAGCACCCAAACGGAGACTTCGACGCAGGCTTCTGTCATGTGGGACTCTCTGTGGGGACTCCCAGGGCCCCAGGGAGATTCTGGGGACACTCCCAGGATGCTCGGATCTCTCAGGCCAGGAGACCGGGACACTGTGCGAGGAGGCAAACACCGAGGCTAGGAACTCCAAAACAAAAAGAAACGCCGAGGGCCGCTGCAGCCCGAGGCAAATTCTTGTACCCTTCCCTGCCTCGTCACGGCGCTGTTGCCGCTCTCGTGCCTCTAAGGACAAACTACATGACATGACTGTGAGTGGGAAAACGCTTGACGTGGGTTAGCTAAGTAACTGGACTGTTCAGAAAAAACGAGACAGTTAAGGTCGTCAATGGTAACCCATCACGGCAGGCTTCCCGCATTCAGACGTCTTGATCCATTGATGCCTCACGTTGCAGCAGCTGCCGTCGCTGGCGGCTGAGCGCCTCACGCTCTTTCTCCTGGTGCTTCCTGGACGGATTCTTGGCGCTGATTCTGCAACATCCAGGAAGCATAGACGCGCTCGGGACACTGCCTTTCGAGCGTATCTTTAATCGCGTCAGCCGCATCCTTCTGAGCGGCCACCTGGCTTCAAGAACGGGAGAACGGCAAGAGACATCGCTGAACCCTAACCAGCAAATGCCAGAGGACGCTGAGACTGATCAAAACTTCATGCGTAGCAGCACTCTCGTGCAAGCCAGCTGGGCCTTCTCTAGGCGAGCCTGCCATGCTTCGGCTGCGCTGAGCAGCAAGACCCACACGAATGTTAGGACCTCGGCCAGTGACCCTGGTGGCCATAAACGGACGGGACATCACACCTTGACAACTACCATGCGATGTGCAAAGAAGCTCCTGCTGAGTGAGTGAGTGAGTAAGTGAACGAGTGAGTGAGTGAGTGAGAGAGTGAGAATGAGTGAGTGAGAAGCTCCAGCTCCAAAGCCCCGCAACAAGCAAGCACGCTGTCCGATTGTGTCCCTTCCTAATTTCCCTTGGGCACCCAATTTTCTCTGCTTATCGCTTTGAGCCATCGTCCTACTAGTCCCGTCAACCCTCATCTCTTCCTGGGGTGGTGGCAGAGAAGCCCGCAATCCACGAGAACAAGGCGGAGGCCTCACCCTGGCAACAGCAACGTGGCACGCGATGTTCGGCGCCGTGACTCTGTGACTCCTGGCCTCTGCCCAGCGCTTGAAGCCCATCACCACAGAGGCTATATACAGCACGGTGAAGACCTTAAGGGCAGTATGAGCAGAGGTCTTTGCACATGCGTCTGGCGGGGCCAGCTCAGTAGGCCACTGCTCGGGCAAAATGCACCTTCGGGTCCTTGCATGAGGCATACGATGGTACAGCACCATCACACAGAAGGATGATCTGGGAAAGCAGCGTGCGCCATGCAGCTGAGATTCGGTTCCTCTTACCTTTTCGTCCTTGTGCTCGCGCAGTTCCTTAGGCGGCTGAAGCTCGGACTGCATGCTGGAACAGTCCGACAGGGCGGCCTCCTTTTGGTGCTTCTTCAAGTCCTTCTCCGTCTTCCTCATCGCGCCCCGTTCTGTCTTGTCCCGCTTCTCCATCTTCTCCTTCATGCCCCGAGAGTCAGAAGTGAAACAAAAGAGAGAGAGAAGTGCTTTGTTGGCACATGTAGCGTCAATACCACTGCTAGGCTCCTTCTTCTTCTCCCACTTCCTTGGGAAAAGCACGGTCTACATCTGAGTCTGTCTGCATGCTGGGACCCCTTCGGGATGCTCCCTCTTCTACTGACAGTTCCTAATGGGGATTTTTGGTACCCCCCTAGTATAATCCCTATTAAGGACTGCTAGTATAAGGGGAACATCCCATAAAGTAGGCCGAAAGCTCGAACTGCACCTCTGAGCCTTGGGGCTGACGTTGCTTGTGAACATGCCCAAGAAAATGCGGCACACCAAAGAAAACTGAAACCCTCCTGCAAATGCCGGAAGAGATCCCAAGCTGATCCCGATGCAGAGGAGTCTCAGCTGCTGCTTCCCCATGTCCATGGGCTTGTCTCGCGCCATGGCTGAAGACGCGAAAGCCCCTACCTATGCCTTACCAGCGGCTAGCAAGCAACAAAGGAAAGGACGCCGACTTGTGTTTCAGGGGGGCCCTCCCTCACTCACTCTCTGAGAGCTTACTTCGCGTCTACGGGCGCCTGCAGTGACACTTGCCGGATCTTCTGTGTTCCATGCCATGGCCTGGATGAGGTACAGCGAGGACTCCCAAAGCGAACAAAAGTGATTCAAAATGATCACTTCCCATGCACCCCTGAAAAAACGGAGTCCCCAGGCCTTCACACAACGCTTGGGAATCAAAAAGCGGGAAACCCAGGCGCAGGTGCTCGAGGGCGGCCTGGCCTGAGGGATGCACCAGGAAGGCACACCAGCACCGCCACTATCACCTCCAGGCACAGGCTTTGAGAAGCCACGAGGCTGGGCTGGAGGGCGAACTGCAGGTGGCCATGACAGCAATGTCTTCACGATATCGGTGGAATGAAAACTACAGTTGCAAATGAAAATACATACATCTACATGTATGTATATGTGTGTGTTCTGTAGATGTAGACTGTACATTCATGTTTGCCTCAATAGATATACCACTCGGCCCCAGGCAAGCACAAAGCGTGGGGCCGCAGCCAAAGTTGTCAGCTGGCGAAACATGTCCTTGGAAATCACCAGTTGGCACCACTAGGGGGTTTAGGAGCATCTGGCGCGCATCTTTCTGGCATTAGGTCTTCATCACTTCGTTGCGTACATCTGTTCCGTGCTTGTGGGCTCTCCAGTAGCCCCTCCCACATCCTAAGACCAATCATCTGAGGCTCCCACAACAAGCACGACAAGGTACGCAGTGAGGATCCCTCCAGTGAAGAGGATGTACGCAACGAGCACCTGGGGAGGAGTCCATCATTTTGGGGTTTAGGCGGTTAAGGGTTGGGGGTGGGGTTCGGGCTCAACTCTGCTGCAACGGGCTGGATTGACCCTGAGCTACACTACACTGCTGCTTGTCTTCCAGGCCGCGTGCCGCAACGAGTCCTTTTTGCCCAAAGACGTGCCTGCTCGCGAAGACAAGGCCACTGCTCCCGCTTTGCTACAAGATGGTGGCACAAGGGCGTCATGAAGATCTGGGACATACGTGTGATCATCGAAACTTATTCTGTAACCCGTGCCAAAAATAAAGCATCGCTGCATCGACCCTCAAAATCCTCACTCAACGTGCAAAGAATAGGCAAGGGGGCATATCATTCACAGCCCTCGTGGGCCTCCCCAGTTCTGGGTAAGAGCACTTTTCGGAGCTGAGCACGGAATGACCTCACAAGGGCCATACAAGCTAATCGCTTCGTGCTTCGCTGCTCTGCATGTGTCGTATGCAGATGTGAAGCACATCGCATTCTGTCATTTGCTATGGAATACGGCCACGAAAACACGCTCCTCTGGCTGCTCTCAGTGGAAGATGCGCATTTGGAGTATGGAATGCCGAGATTAAGCTGGGCCTAGCTGTTAAGGACAAACGGCATGTAGCAGACACTACAAGAAGGGAATGGCCAAACAATGGTCTATCGAAACACTATAGAGCTCAGCCCATGTCTGCAGCTGTCGCTTGCACCTGCCTCGTGTGCAGAACCCATCACCACCCACTAACGAAGTGCAGCTCCTTGGCGCAAGGCTCATCCAAAGCACCTGCACAACGCCACCGTGGCATGCAAACGTCCAGCTATTCGGATAACAGCCCTGGGCTGCACTCAGCTACTTGTATCATCTGAAAATCATGGGAAAAAGAAGCGTTGATAGCCTGGAGCAGCGTGTAGCGGTTTGCCACGGCGACAAGGCCTCACGAGGGCAGGTCGGGAGTCGAATACGAGTTGCTACAAGCCGTGATCCACAGGTGAACCCGTCTACACGCCAAACTCACTGAGCAATCCGTCTATCTGTTCCGAAGCGCACCCGAACAGCAATCCGAGACACTCCTCGCCCACAATAGTCCCGGCAGAGTGAAAGTCACGCTGAAGGTATCTTCGTCGGTCCCCAATATGACTGAGCCATCTGCCCATGACGAGCAGGCCCGAAAGGAGCCCAGCATCGGCCATAGCACGGGGCATCGCCAACAAGCCTTCGACAAGGTTTGCGCCCCAAGTTCTCTCTACTCTCTTTGCACCCTGTGGCGGAGAAAGGAAATCACAAGGCACCTGCGCCCAGCAGGTTGTTGAGCAAGTTCAGCGTGGCCTTCACATTGGCTGCAGCACGCTGCCGATTGCTTCTGGGGTTCGTGGTGGCAGATGATAGATTCGCAGTTCTCGGTTCTTGGACTTACTTCACCCACATCATAGGGAGTGGACAGCTGGGCAGTCCAAGCCCAAGTCCTGTCACTGTACACCCTGACTGAAGGCCTCACAGCGCGTCTGTTGCCCGTTCCCTCGCCGTGGTAGCCGCAGCAGCGGGTACACGAGCGCCATCGCGCTCGGAGGCCTCACAAAAAAGGCGAGCAGCCTTTAAGCTACTACACTTGGCACTGCCTACAAGCCTCCCGGAGGCTTTTTGAACATTGACATGATGACAATGCTATCAACTCCATTGACCCTGCTTTGACGCGTTCTGAATGCATGCATGCTACCCCTACAAGTCAATGCACTGAGCATGGTACCATACTCCTGCACAGACCGCTGAATCTCTAAGCCCGGCGCACGAGTGAAGCAGTCAGGGAACTTTGCCCTGAACCTGAGCGAGGTCCCATCGGAGGTCTGACAGAGTCTGAGTTGTACTCATGTTTTAGAAGATGCTCGCACCCGACTGCAAACGCATGCTATTTTGAAGGTTCTCTGATCCTTTCTTGATCCAGACGACAGTAGTGCACAATTAGCATCTGCATGAGCATCTTCTTCTCAGCAAGCCCCTTTTATCATCTCTCTTGTCCTACATGCCATGTCAAGCCGATCCGCCGGCTTGCTTCAGTCGCTTCACAAAAACTTCTCTGCTGGGGCTGGCACGCGTCGTCGGAACAGCGCAAGCAGATGCATTGTCCGTGGGCGCTTCAGAAAGCTCTGAAAGAGTCTCCAAGTCTCTTCCTGGCAGGCAAAAAATGAGTCGAAGCGAAAATCTAAGGAATCAGGGCCCCCTCGGGCCTCCATCGACGAACTCGTCCTCATAGCCGGGTCGCTGGCCCACTGCCTTCAACTAAGCGGCCGGACCCTCAAATGTTACAGAAGTAAGCAGCAGGCAGCAAGGCTCTTTTTTCTCCGGCTTCCGTCTTCTGCTTCTTCTCAGGTGGCTCCCCGACGCGCGTCGCAGCAGCGAAGAAGCTCCTTTTTGAAGCTCGACTCCCCATACACCTAAGCCCTACGATAGTCGCAGCATCATCGTCGACATCAAGATGCTCTCGGTGCAACAGTCTCAGTCATGCCTTTGCCTGCTGCCCCACTGCTGTTCCGCTGAGGTCCTGAGGCTCCGCTGTTTGGCCAGCTTCCTGGGCTACCGGCTGGGAGCTGCACAAGGACTCACAGTTCATGGGTTCGGCAATTCAGAAGTGGATGGAATCCCAAGACAGGCCTGCATCCACCCCGAGGTCTATGCTGCGGGCACAAATCTCCGACCCAAAAGCCCCAAACGCCCCGAAGCCCCCCAGAACCGTAAAGCCACAAAGCCCAACCCTAACCATCCTAAACCATCCGAAACCATCCAAAACCATCCTAAATCCAGAAACGCATAAATCCCAAGCCTGGCCCCTCACAACTGCCAGCCAGGCAGCGGGCCCCGAGGCGGCGCTTGGCCAGCGAGGCGGCAGCAGATTTCGTGGAGCCGCTTGGCCTGAAGCAACGGGCTCTCAGGGAGGGTTTAGGGTTCAGGGTTTAGGGTTCAGGGTTTAGGATTTAGGGTTTAGGGAGTTAAGGGTTTAGGGTACAGGTTCATTCTGCACCTTGATGGCGAGATGGCTTCGTCATCTATGCAGCCTCCATCAGCCTCCTGCATGTGCTGCAGTGACCATCCGTGCCTTCAAAATACAGATGGCGCGATCACTGCAGCATTCGTACTATTCGTACCTGCGCGGCTCTGAGCCGGCAGGCAAGTCCGTGATTTCAGGTTTGATCACTGTTGACGGTAGCAACGGACTGATGCGCGGCATTTTGAGTTCCGGAGAACATTCGGGAAAGAACGTGCGTGTCAAGTTGTTGAGAAGGTTGGCAGCAAGTGCTCGGCCATGACCCGCACAGATCGCTGCAAGTCGGGCTACAATTCTGCAACGAAGCTATTTTCCTTACGATTACAGCATCAAGCGACAACTTTTGGCCAAGAAAGAGGAATCTGAGCTCTGCACGTTCTGCGGCATCGCAGCTCCTGCCACATATGGCCACAGGAACGAGGATGTCCGCAGTTTTGATAGCTTGCAAACATCTCACGCCCGTGCAACTCACATACAATGCACACGCGACCGGCCTGAATCGTCATTCAGAAGGAAGCAGAAAACGCGCAAGCCCTGGGATCTCCAGGCATGGAGCTGCTGCGCATAACCTCACAAGCTTTGGCAATTTCAATGAGTTGGTCTTCGCACTTTCGCGCTTCGCAATCAAACGATGGGGCAACTGGGCTCGGGAAGTGCGGAAGTGCGGCGAGGCACCGGACAGTTCTTCGTCCGTGTAGCGATACTGATGCGCATCCTCAGCTGAACAGCCGCCATGGCAAGCACCCTCCCTCCTTCCAGCAGGACTTGCAGCGAAGTGCCGTTAACACAAAAGCCCGAATCCCAAAAACACCGAGACGTGCTGTTTCACCCAATCCGGTACATGCCGGACATGCCACTGTGTCACAGCTTCAGGTGAGCAGGCATGCTGGGCTTTGCCCCGGTGCCAAGAGCCTCGCTTCATTGCCAGGCCCCATTCGGCTCTGACCTACTTGTCGTCCCAGCCATGCTTCTGCTTCAAGCCACAGTTCTCACATTGCAGATAAACGAATCCATAAGCATCACCGTTGTGGCGACATCCATCCGTCGTCGTGGTCGATGGAGATTTGATCTCGTGGCTGCATTGAGGGCAGGTGCGTTTTACGCTGTCATTGTAGCCCCAGCAAACTTCATCAGGTGCCGGAGAGCACAGGCAGCAGCGACCCAAGTGGGTCCCTCCGAGGCTGGGGGTCACCTTGACCAGCTGTAACTCGCGCACGTCGCCTGAAGCGGCTTCGCGGATGACCTGAGCCAGTCCATCTTCATCAAGCACAACCTCCTGGAAGATTAAAGATTGCGCCGGTGCAGGAATCTGTGACTCCTGGGCAATCGTTTCCTTGAGCTGCTCCAAGCGCCTGATCTTCACGCAAGAGACAAGCACACTTGCCTGAAGCTCTGCATGTGCAGCAATGCCAAACAAGAGAGGCCCTAAACTCCCCTATTGAGCCCGAGCCCTCACATTCTCTGGCCAAACAGACCCTCAATGACCCTCAGTAGCGGCATATTTTTCTTCGTCAATTTAGCACAAGCGGCATGCCAGAGTAAGCTGCAACTTGGGCAATCGGCTCTCCAGTCAGCGACAGTTTGACCACAAAGTTGAAATGAGATTGTGGTTTCTTTGACCACGGTATGGTGCTGGCACTCTGCATGGCAGCGCAGCACTGTCCCATGCTTCAAGCCCGTGCTTACTGCCCAGGTGATGACCATGTTTGGGCCATGAGGGCGGCAGGTATGCTGCGTTTCGAAGGCACAGGGTCAAGCTTTCGGGGACCGGAACCGTGTTTGGTTGCCTGCGGCCTTCAGAGTCGAAAGTCGAGTCAGTTGCTAAACATCTCTGAAAGACTGCACGTGAACAGCCCCGAAAACCTGTCCCAATAACCTGCGCCACGATACCACAAAAGTTTCAGATCCCAAACCTCGAAGCCCCGACGCCCAAGCATCACATGACCTGTATTTCTTCTCCCGGCACTTCAACAGAGGCCATGGCAGCAGTGCGTTGCGGCCAACAGGAGAAGTTCAAGACACAAGACACAAGACACATGAATGCCTTCAAGGCCACATTGTTCCCATGCAGCCGCACGTAAACAAAGTCCGCTGTGTGGGATGCCTGCTGTCAGGGACGTGCGTGATGTGCTCCCGTTGCCGTGCTAGAAGCAGCAGAAGCACCATCGAAAGCTTTGCGACCTTTCCGGGTTTTGTTCCATGATGAAGGCCCCACAAATCAAGTAACTTCGTCAGAGTCATACTAAGAACAGTGAATCTCCATGTGCGCCTGGAGTGGGTCCAGCTGGTAGGTCTCGTAGTGCGCTGTGTCAGCTGAGGTCGCCCGGCCCAGGGCGTTGGGATGCTGAACCAAAGCCTCGGGTAGAAGGTCTCCAAAAACCATTTTCGCGTATCGGGTTCCAGGGCTGTTCTAAACTTCCTAGGCCCTCCAATAAGCCTTCTAGGCCCCATGCTGCTCCCACGGAGGAGGGCTGGTCTTGCGCAGGGGGAAGGGGGGGGGGGGGAAAGCGACCGAGCTGAGCTCGGTGTTCCGTAAGAGTCCGGAACTTGCGCTTTCCGATGGCTTTGGTAAGGGTAGGCTCAGAGGAGCTTTGGCGCTTTGGAGATGTCGGACTTCGGGGAGTTCACATATACTTGTTGTGCTTCGGGAAGCAGCACCTTGCTCTCAGCCCTCCCTTCACAATCTACGTCACAAGGGCATGGTTTGGATGGGGATGTGCAGGGGCAGTTTGAACACACTGCGACGCTCTAGACATTTGTAGGAGGGGTTTGGCTTGTCAGGTGGGCTTTTTAGGGCTGGCTGTGCTTCAGACTTGGCATTGCCCTGTTTGCAGGAAGGTGTCCCAGTTCTTCGTCTTCATGAAGTCTAATGACTCCGCATCCTGGAACCATGAGGCATGCCTGAACTCGAAAGCCACCTGAGTGAACTCACATGACAGCGAGCGCCAGCGCTTCAGGGAGTCGCCATGTTCGGCCTCCTATTCGGGCGCACTGCTGCATTTACCAACTTACCGCAATCTTGACGCGTTGTCGTTGTCACGAGAGCAAAGCTGAGCATTGCGCCGGTCAATACATCAAGACAAGATTTTCGTGAGAGCCTCAGTGCCGAGATGCCAAGCGACGTCCTTGAGGCGGGCCTCCTCAGGCAAAGCCGCGAGAGTCACATCCACCTGCTGGAGGATCTTGACGTCTGCCTGCTCCAAGGAGGGATTCTGCGGCGTGCTTATCTGACCATAAGCTGCTGTGTTGCAAGTTTGCGTGAATGACTTGCTGAAGCTACACCAAAGCCATCGAGCAAGCAGGTATGGCTTCGTCCGGCACAGTCTCTCACAAGAAACTCCTGCTGCGCCACTGTGCGTATCTATACGCATGCCGCAACTCCTGAAGGGCACCGTAGATGCCAAAAACCCTGAAGCCCCGAAAAGGATTTGGCAGCTCGCCTTCAAACTTCTCGGGCACTGAAATAGTACTGGTCCGAGATGCTTGCCAAGCCTCGGTGTCAAGTGCCTGGTCTCCTGGTCCTATAAACATCTCTTAATCCATGTGGCGGGTCTCATATTTTTTTGGCCGCAGCCACCAAGGAAGCATCAGAGATGCAGAGGGGCAGAGTCTTCAAGGGCATGTCTTCTTGTTTTAGGGCACAGCGGCAGCTCCCGTGTCTCGTCCCAGCGGCCCAGCCACGCGCTGGGCAAAGTGCCGCAGAGACTCCAAAGCAGCTGGCGCCGCAGGGGACCCCGCATCATGAGTCACAGTCTTCGGCACCTGACCACGGTGACAGGGTAGAATCACTCGACCAGCAAGAGCAAGAAAGAACTGTCACCGCACCAAGTGCCGCATTTCCGGGGCCACTGCAGAAACACATCGAAACACTGTTGCAAAAAGGGCTGAAGATGGCTGAAGGCCTTGAGCCCCATAAGGAAACCTTCGGCACATCGTCGTCGCCAGCTGGCGATGGTGTCAGCCGACGGAGTGCCTGCACGTCCCAGGGCATCCCCGGAAGCCCCTGAAGAGCAGTTACAAGGAGGCACAAGGCCCAAGCACAGCTATGAGAGGTGCACAGAGATGCTGCCAGAGTGCCATAGAAGCTGGAGTTGACCTCCACCACCCAGAAGCTCTCCTGGTAGCACTCCTTAAGGTGCGCTCCCCAAAGCGCACTGTGAGAGAACGCCGTTCTGGGGCTGACGTCCCTCAACATGCGCCTTCACTATCTCCATGCGGCCTGAAGGCCTTCAATCCTTCAGAAAGCAAGTTTGGACCAAGGGGCTAGCTGGTCTTCACCCTTCTTCACGTTTCCTGCAGGGCTTGAGTCGGGAAGGCTGCACAACAGCATCTTTGGGTTGAATACTGATCTCCGCTCCACTTACATGCACGAAGTGCTCTAGCGTCCAGTTGAAAGGCAAGTGTCTAGTCTTGGCTGCTCTTGAAACAAGCCACCACTCTGGTGATGCCGTTGCAAGAATGGGTCTGCACTGGCGCAACACCAGCGCAACGATGTCGCCAAGCCTCCTAGTACCAAGACCCACCTGCTTTGCTCCCCGAAAACACACTGGCGGCAGCCCTGCCTGGATAGAAACTTCCAGCCCAATGAGCGCTGGAGAAGCCGGCCGTCCCCACATGAAGACTACCCAGCGGCGGCTCATCCATGACGAGGGCAAGTAGGTTTCTACACGCTTGATTTGGACTGTTGTTGCAAGTTGAGTCTGCAAGCTGCCTCTGCGATCCCGAGTGCAGTGGACAGCTCAAGCCATGCTTGGGAAGCCTCTGGTGATGCTATGGGCAGGCACTGATTCGCAAATGAAGCAGCAGTCATTGCATGCGCATCGAAGCGAGCACGACCACCAGCTGCTCAAAAGTCGGAAAAACGAAGAAGTGTGGCACAAGGACGATCATGACAATCGGACTTGAGGCCTGCCGATCGTCTGAAGTCTCTTCAAGAGCCTCCCAAAGGCAAGTTGAAATTCACTGGTCAAGGCTCAGCAGCTCAGGGCAAAGCGTGATATACAGAAGCATCCTGGAGCAGTAGCCTAGCCCCCTTGCAAAAGAAAGAGCGCCCCCTGATTTCCCAAAGGAGGGGGAGGGAGGAAGGGAAAGAGAGAGAGAGAGAGCGAGGGCGAGGGCGAGGGCGAGGGAGAGGGAGAGGGAGAGGGAGAGGGAGAGGGAGAGAGAGAGGGAGAGGGAGAGGGAGAGGAGAGGGAGAGGGAGGAGAGAGGGAGAGGGAGAGGGAGAGGGATTGGGAGAGGGAGAGGGAGAGGGAGAGGGAGAGGGAGAGGGAGAGGGAGAGGGAGAGACTGAGAGAGAGAGAGGGAGTGCTGATCGTGTTGTGGCGCGCTCCTGAGCCGGCTTCGACTCCTGCTTGCCCTCGTACGCACCTTCGCTTCTGAAACACACCGAGCTGTTGAGAGCATCTTCCCACAACTGTGAAGAACTGTTGCCGACACCCCGAAAGGATCCGACAGATCAAAAATCGAAGCCTCTTACGGCTCTTTTGGACAGCAAACTTGACCCACTTGACGCTTGAGCTACCGGTACTCCTGCCCCATTCGCCATGGTCACTCCAGCAGCCTGCTGGTCCGGTCAGGAGACCTTCCTCATGCCTCATGGAGCACATCATGTCCACCAAACAAGGGGGAAAATATATTTCCAGGCTCCAAGACATCTCCAAAGGTGTTCGCTCAGCAGCAGTGGCTTCTTATGTCCAGCGCTGGGGTGCCGGCTCTTCTTCGGCTCCTTGCGCCAAGGAGGCCTCGTAAGGCAGGCAACAAACGAATCCCTCCTGGTGCCAGCTGAAAGGAGTGGTCTGGCAGTCTCACAACTCTCATCTGAACTCCGGCAACTCTTGGTGGTGCCTCATCCGCCTCCACTGCCGGCATGCGGAGGAGCCAGTCCGACTGAACCTACTCCAGCCTTTCTCGACGTTGTGTGGGCATCTTCTGCCAGTCTGTGTGGGATCTGTGATGCATTCGATCATCCTTGAAACATCGCAAACGTGTGTCCATGTGCCTGCTAGGGTGCTGTGTGTGTGTGTGCGTGTCCACCGATCTGGTAGGACCTCCACGCTCCGGGGTCGCTGAAGGCTGGCTTAGGGGATACAATCGTGAACCACTAGTGCTGTCGGACGACAAATCTAGGACAACCAAATCGGCAAAAAATGATTCTCTTGCTGCCGGCTGGGAGCCACATGCACTGCATGCATGCAACAAGTCCAACACATGCAACCTACTACGCGTAGCCCACATAATGCCCTGCAGAGCTTCTGCCTGAACCCCTCCCTGGCCCTCAGGCAGTCCGTGAGCCCCGTCTGCCCCAGGTTCACAGACTGGCGGTAGACGTGGATGGGGTGCTGCCGCGGCTGTTGGCTCCTGTCTTGGCAAAACAAGTCTTCAAACCGCGTGGAGGAAGGGCCAAGGAACTCATATCACGTGCAATGGCACATACCCATCCCAATCTCTAAGGTGCGAATATTTCGCTTAAAACCAGACGGGACTGACTTCGTTGTGACATGAATCACCCAAGCTCTGCACTTGCACACGCCGCAAACTTCCGGATCGGCTTGTCGGTAAAAGCCCCTTGAGGCGTCTCTCTTGCAGCAAAAGATCACCACCAGCCCTACTGAACAAACTCCACAGCTAGAAGGACGGACGTGCGCCAATTCAGGCAGAGGCCATTCATGACCATAGATTTCAATGGTGGCATGGAAGGCACCGAACGTCTTGACCTCAACATGGTCAGCGGTTTGAGTTGTAGACCCTTTGCCTTTACAGACTGCTACAAGTAAAACTTAGTGCCCTCTCCAGGCATAGGCTGTATTGCGTGGCCTTTCTATCGGAGGCTGCAAAGCGCAAAGAAACAGTGTTGTTGCCTTGCACGGCGTTCATAGGATTGCGCGGTGGTGGAGCAGTCCACGCGATCTACATGGGTTCCAGCAACTAGATCGTGGCACGCGATCTATTGGGCTCCAGCAACTAGATCGTGGTGCAACACACGGAACGAAGCTCAAGCGCGGACTTGTAAACATAGAGAATGATTTCACACTGAGTCCGACACCATGGTGTTACAAAGGATGGAATTCACGGTAGACCTTACAAAAAAGCGAAACTGTAGCTTCCTGACCCACTTTCAGACTCAACTCAATAAACCGCAAGGATGCCAACGTCACAGGAGCCAAGTCATACCTCAGCAAGTCTGCAGCGTGACTCAGTGTCTGAAGAAGGCTTGTGACCCTATGACCCTCGACTTCCACGGTACAATGGGCCCAAAAGCCTTTTCGCCACAGAACACATGACCAGGGCAGCGTGCCCCTGCTGCTTAGCATGTCAGGGCTCTGGCACATTGAGGAAGACAGTGCTTGCAGGCGCAGATTCCACCTGCCATCATGCGAGCCGCATTCCCTGGAGATAATGGCCACCAAGTACCCCGCCTCGGACGCAAAGGACAACCAGGTGGCGAGCGTGGCTTCGGAGTGCCCCTGGCTTGATGGATGGTCGCAGGTACACCGAATCCGAAACCTTCTCCTTGCCTCCGGTGTCTCTGTCAGATCCGTCTCTATCGGCTCTTTGGCCCCATGGGCTCCTGGCACTACGGAGCAGGCAGCTCAAGTGCCAGAGATTCTGGACCTGTGTACACGGCAGGCAGGGCCCCCGGCGGGGCTGCCGAAACGTGAGCTGCAGCTGAACCTGGCTCTCATGGCGCCTAGATGCACCCAGCTTCCTCCACTAGTAGGGCTCCGAATCCTAGCCCCAAGCGCCGAAACCGAGATCGACAATGAGCCGCCGCCGCCGAACGGCCAACAGCTCCAATGAAGTGCCGCTTCCCCAACTCGAGCCAGCTCTCCTCCAAACAGTGCTCAACTCGATCGGAAAATGGCTCAAACCAGTCTGCTTGTAAGCCTTGGGCTTTCATTGGTGTATGCTTTGGGGTTCAAAGGCTTGTCATCGTGCGTTGGCATCGAAACACTCTAGTGACTCACGATCACAGAAGCCTACAGAGCCGGATGCTAGCAACACATCTACATCATTTACATCAGCATTGGACCAGGACAGGAGGGACCCGCCTCGCTCACCGGATCCCAGTCCAAGGAGTGGAGTTGCAGCCTGGGGCATGGCAAGTTGGTGCCAAAGGCCAGTCCATGAGCGTTTTGACAACGAAAGACATGCAAAACTGAGAAAGCCGCCAGTCACTGTTGTTTGAGGTGTCCACCTGGCCATGCTGAAGGGGAAGGCAGCACCGCTAGAAGCTCTTCAAGGTTTCGCAAACTCTCAGATGCATCATGCTCCGAAAGCGGCTTGACACAAGCCGCTGCGCAAATCAGCATTGTCCCAACTGCAACGTACTTTGTACCAAAAAACAACCACCCACTGACTGCTGGCTCAGGTAGTCAAGACTGACTCCATCTGCGCCTTCGGCCCAACAGAACAGCGGAGGCTGCAGCCACTCTCGGCCTCCAAACATCTACTGCCTTACAAGTGGTAAAAATGCGCATATTTTCGCATGGTATGTAGCCACATCTAAGCTCAACCGTGACATGAAGAAACATTGCAGTTGCTTCTCGGATCAGCCGTACCAAAGACGAAGGCCCATCAGCGCAACAATTCAATTATAACTGCGATGTGTCCCCTCACAAGGCCTCCCGAATGACTAAGCCGTCCATGGAGGTGAGGAACCATGGCACCACCAGGCCTCAGAGTAGGAGAATGCTCACTGGGCCACTCGGCTATTGTGAAAAGTTGGAATACCGAAGCCCCAACCATCTGCTTCTGCATCGAAGCCCGGAGGAACCTCCGGGCAAACTTTCGGATGTCTCAACAAAGAACAGGTCGCCAAAAGGAACCAACCGACATCGCTGACACTTCGAGGAGGTTTGCACGACCCCAACTTCCATCTTCACACAAGCTGAACCAAAGAGGCCTCGAAGTAGTCCCCTCCGGCAGCTATCCCGCCAATTGTCGGCGAGCTGTGGAAGATGTCCTCGGCCTGCCACACCGCTGACTTGGTAGTACATTTGTCCATGAGAACATTGTTGGAACCGATTTTCGTGGGCAACAGACAGGTTGGCCGGGCTGTTCGGCTATTCAAGACCTCACGACTGTTTGAGGATGTCCGTCAGCTATGAAGCCCGTCTCCCGGGTGGGGTGCCGGGGAGTGGCTCCTTTCAACATCTGCAGACCAGCAAAAAGAGCCCAAACCGGTTTGCAACTGTTGCGTGGAGGGATGCATTTAAAGCCGGACCCTGCATCCAGTTTTCATTTTCATGACCACAGACAATGAACATTCCGCAGGTTCATTTATCAAGTAATCAGCTGTCCCATTGCGCGAAGCACTGCCCGGCCTGGATTTCAAACGTGCAGGAGGTTGTGTTCCTGTGGCAACCCGAGCAACACTCGTAGCGAACATGGCCTATCTGTGGCCCTGCCTCAGGCGTACCACTTCGCACACCACCTCTGCAAGGTTCCGTGGCACACCACTCAAAACGACGCACGTTCTAAACTGGGTTCGGCGCCATTTTGCGGCTTCAACGGACGTTCATGGCCCAGGAGACTTGCAATAGCTGCTGAGTAGTAGACCATGCATGCACTAGAGTTACTAGAGGTCTGCATATGGCGATATTGTTGGGAAGTCAACAAGTAACGGCAACGCCATGAGGGCTGACACTATCCAGCCTTTTGAGCAACAGCAGACCCAGCCCCACAGGGAGGGGCATCATAGCAGGGTACCCGTGAGCCAGATAGTGACCTAGTATGCCTAAACACCTTAACCGTTGTTGACCATGGCTTGCCCCAGACAGTTGGCATCCGTGCCCCTGCCACATCAGACATCACCTGACCTGGCAACAAAATTCACGTAACTCAAAGGGGTCCCGGGTAGGGCTTTCACGCGAGAACTGTGAAAAAACAAGACCTGCCACCTAAACCCTAGACCCTAAGCTGCACAAAATCAAGCATGGCCGTTTCAATTCAACGGTGCTGCGTCCTCATCTTGATGCCTGCTCCTGTTACAACACATGGCATAGTACCTCGTCGGCGTGTCCAGGCCTGGCTACCCAAACTTAGGGATGGGATCCGACACTGAGGGCTATAATTATTTTGGGTACCCCAAGTTTGGCAAATGCCCAAATCGGATGTTGCCTCACACAACCAGCACCTCATAAAGTAGCTAAAGATATACTGGGCAAAAGAGCTGCTCAGCGCTAGAGAACCCACCCATGGTTTCATGGTGGCACAGGCCAGTGGTTCCAGGATGCTGAGCATCTGCAGCTGTACCGGGTACCAAGTGGGAATGCATGGTAGGCGATGCAAGCAGTCCTGTTGTACAAAGAAAGGGACTTTGGGCAATGGGGACTTGCCGAGCGGAATTGCTTAGGGAGCGTGGGAAGAGCCGAGGTTTGGGCTCATTGCTGGAGGACCTGCTTACCCCTGACTGAGTCGCCACGCACAAAGGGGATGCTGATGCCGTAAGAAGCCTGCTCATGTGGGGGCCTTGGCCCCAAGCCGGAAAAAAACTGTGCATACGTTTGTGCGATTGGTCTTGCAGTGTCTGAACCATGGGGTGTGTCGGAACCTCTCACACACCCGGAATCCAAACTTCCAGCCGGTTCGGAAAGTTCGTCGTGCTCTGGTCCCCATCCTAACCCCTTGACCCGGGGCTTCTGAAAACCTGAAGTGTCAGACGTGAAAAAGCGAATTTGAAACCGTAAATGCGACACTCGCACAACCTTGAGCTCACCAAACCCGCGCCAAAGAATGAGAAGCGATCTCAAAGCCGCCTGAATCCGACTGAGCTGTGCCGGAAGCAGAATAGATGTGTGAACTGTACAACCTGCGAGGCAATAGCATAAACTCAACAGTGTGTGACAGTTCACGCGCATCAGTTCCGGATCATTGAAACCTATCACGTGAATCGCGTTTTTGTACATGAACGTGTTTCCACGCAGTCCTGGGTCAGTTTGCGGATGCATCCCAACAACAGCTATTACTGCTATCGGTCGGACAAGACTCGCTGCCACACCCAACAGGCCAGCTTCTTGGAATTCAAGATAGAACTCCTACGTCCTAAGTCTCTAACATCACAAGACCAGTGCGGACAACATTTGTCCTGTTCTGGGTGGAATGCAACAAGCTGTGGATGTAAACTATGGCACTACCTCCGTATTCGAAGTAGTCAAAGCCAAATGCTCGCGACACGCTGGGCTCCATCAATACCAAGATCCTACGACAAGCGAGCCCAGGTGAATTCGCTGTAGCTTACTGTCATCCCACCAAAGCCTCAGTCGGGAGCCCTATATCTAGAAAACGCCACTTCATCTACTTCAGAGGCACTTCTTTAGCCCTTGAACCTGCTGCGGGCTCAGTCGACGCCCCAGAACCCTGGCTCGATGCCTCAGCCGTTCCCGCTGCAGCAAAGCTGCCAGCGGAGGTGATAGTTTAGAGTTTCGGGTCGCTTGGGCCCACTCCCTCGCATACCAATACCACGAAGGCGCGTGCTAATGATCCCCCAAAGAGCAGATTCAAGCTGCAGCAGCAAGCACGATAGTGGCAACCAACATGTTGCCACTGAACATGCGCAAGCTGCAGCTTGATAGTCTGACGGCCATCAACGCCAGAACTCAAGTTCAGACTCAAACCTATACCACTTCACCCCCAAACCCACAGTCCTAGCTCATGTTTTGAGGTTTACTTGTGCCCAAACCTGAAACGGAGGACGGGGCCAGACGGCGCCGGGCGAGCTGGGGAAACGTCAATGTCCAGGAGGGCTCCTTCTAAGGAGTTTTTCGAGGGCGCTGGCACAATCTTGAAACCACTGCCAAGGCGCCCCCCCCGCCCCCCAAACCATACCGAACCCCAACCCGCTTGGTCGGCAGGACACCGGTTGCAAGCGAGGCTTAGGTCTGGACAAAGACCACAAGCTACGTGTCTATTGGAAAGGGTCAACAGAACCCTGGGCTCCCATGATTGTTCTGTCCCCATGCTAGGTTCAAACTCGACATGAATCGTGAAGCATTCAACGCGTTCTCGCACACAAAAAACTTGTCATGCACAAAGGTTGGCTTACAGGGGCATGTTCCCCACATCTCTCCCTCAACCAAACCTACACAACCTCCGCACAATTATCCACACAGCTCTATGTAAGGATTCTGGCCTGGACGACATGCAGCCCTGCGCGCTAAAGCTCTTAAGTGCGAAACAAGCTGAGCACGGGCACGAGATGGCATGAAAAGGACATTGCTGGAAGGAGACCGGAAAACTTGCGCGAAACCTACACGTCATCTGACACCTTCTACTTCGGTTGACAGCCGCGCCCGGTAACCGGTAGCCACTGCCTCTGAGCGTTACTTTGGCACTTGCAAGGCCGAATGCCTTCTGAGACATCACTTCCCATCGCGAACGTGCACAAACCTACGTTCAAGAAACCCTGCTGCCCCAATGGCACTTTGCATACAAGATCAATCAGACCATTCCTTTTCACGGCTCATATCCTGACACCAAGATGCTCTTAAGCCTACGCCCGCAACCCCCCCTTAAGGCTCTTCCCTAATCCCGAAAGCCGGCAACACTCGAGCCCAACAAGCCCCGAGTAGCCTTGCCAGCGACCGGCGACAGGCTCATCAACCTGGGCGAGCTGGCTTAAGGATTTGGGGCCCCCACACTCAGTAGCCCTTAACATCCTCGAGCTTCAGGGTGTAGCTGCTGTTGATGTTTCGGGCGGTCCATCTCGAACATCCAGCAAGGTGGAGGGCGCAGGTCTTTGCAAGCCTTTCGGCGGGTGCAAGGCGCAGGCCTCGCGGTTGTTGCGTCGAAGCTCGCAAATTGTTGAATTTATTGTGATCAGATCTCCAAAGTCCCACGCTTGTATGGCTACGCGGCCATGCCCAAGCCAGACACCTGTCCAGGTTTTTGGCATGCTCAGGTCTCAAATCGTCGAAAACCTGGACTCCCAAACGCCCCCCCCCCCCCCCCCCCCCCCCCCCCCACCCCCTTCTCACTCTCTTCAACATAAAAAAAAGATTGGCCTCAAACTCGATGACCTGTCACAACTTGAAGCCGAAACCCCCTCAAGCCTGCACCAAAAACTCCTCTAAAGGCGCAGAGGACGCTGCCGTCGAACACGTTGATCCTGACGGCGATGGCACCTGGCGGGATCGGGGAATCATCTCTTTCAACTCTTCAACACTCGGCCGAGTTGAATGCGTTCACAACGCTTCGCCGCACGCACGTAAACTTTCTGATCTCTTCTACACATGCCGGAGTTTAGCTGTTCGTCTAAACCCTAACCCACGAAAAGCAGCTGAGCTGTGGGCGTCGATGGCACCTTTTTGAATAAGCTGCGGCGCCGAGTCCAGAACCCATCGAACACACGAGGAGTAAGCGCAGGCCCCCCAAAAGCCTTTCAAGCTTTTGTAGCCTACGCCGCATTCCCCCGTCCAGGACCCACATTAGTCCGATCCTCGGCCAGCTTTCACACACCCGAGGCACGGGCTTGGGCGAACTTTGGCCCTTCGGGAGCCTCAGCTGCGCGCGCAAACTTTAAAACTCACAAGCCGCATCTGCTGGTTTGGGGCTTTCAGCCATCTTGCGCAAACCTTTGACGCTTGCCACGAAGTAAGCCAGAGCTCTCATCTAGGCAGCCGGCCCCCTTGATCTTTAACGTGTTCTTTGCACCTGAGCAGGCAACGTTGCTCGGGCTTGTGTCCGTGTGGTCTTGTTGGGCATGTCAAGGCTTAAGGATAAGCGGAGAGCTGAGACCGGCGCGTTTTGACCACGCAGGCCTCAGAAATGCGATAGAGTGAGCTCGCATCGCTACATACTCCAAGTTTGCATATAACATGTTCAGACGCAGGTTTCAACATGTTTCAACCGCAGCTGCTGAAAGCAAACTGCACTCTAAGGTCATGTCGGGGAAGCCGCTGGGCGGTGCACTACCTGAAGACCGGTAGAAACAACTTGTCTTGCGACTGGCCACTGCTGCTTGAACTGACATGGTTTCTCACGTGGATGATAGTTGATGTGGTGTTGATTCGGAAACACCCCATCCACCCCCCCTCTGCCCCCACACACCTTGCCAAAAGCCCCCCATTTCAATCGCACCCGAGCCGAAGGCCCGAACATTGCTACTGACCGAGCACTGAAGCCTTACACTGAGCCAGCTTAGGGTGTAAAAGTTGTGGCCTACGTGGCTTGCCGAACTGCTGGTTACAAGAAATTTCGGGGGCAGCAGAACATGAAATCGTTTACGCGGCGTTGGACAGTCTTTCCCTCCGGCAACGATGATCCCCTGACCCCTAAACCCTGAACCCTGAACCATGAGGGTTCCAGCAACCACGGTCCAGGCCATAAAACTGAATGGAAAGGTGGCGATGGGACATCCCACAACCTCAGGACTGTCCTTTATGGGTCCTACCACGTCCTGCCCGTCGGCCCACGGCTCAAGCGCATTCGAATTCTTCTCAACCGCCCTCCTTGCTCACCGGCCTGCGGCTTCAACACGGGGAACGCCTCCTGGACGTAC